CTTCTTCCAATCCTGATGCCATGTTTTTCTTCATATAACCCAGCTTCACGGATTATTTGCTCAGCATACAGGTTCAATAAGTATGGTGAAAGAATACAACCCTGTCATTGAATTGCTGTGAATTGGGATCAGTTTAGTAAGTAGGACAGCATTTGCTTTTGTTGTATTATTCTTTATTTGATTAGATTGAATACTTAAAGAAAGAACAGTATGTATGATAGAACTATTCCCCTCAATATAATTCAGTAAAGGAGCACCCAGGCAGCCCTTTTCTTCCCACCTTCACTGAAACTTGCTCTTTTGTGACCCTTCCCCTCCACAGGTTATTTTCTGAATTTCCTGGAGCCAGTAAACAATATCACCATAATCCAGGGCCAGACAGCCATTCTACATTGTAAGGTGGCGGGCAACCCGCCCCCCAATGTGCGGTGGTTGAAGAATGATGCCCCAGTAGTTCAGGAGCCCCGGCGGATCATCATCCGGAAGACAGAGTATGGTTCTCGGCTGAGGATTCAAGATCTGGACACCACAGACACTGGCTATTATCAGTGTGTGGCTACGAATGGGGTGAAGACCATCACGGCCACAGGCGTCTTATTTGTGAGGCTTGGTGAGTCATGTGATTGAGGTTTGCCTGTGGACAAATACGACACCCACTTTGAAAATTCACAGCCACTGAGGGAAATGTTAATTTGCAGTTTGAAACTGAACACACACAATTCAATATGAAAGGAAAGCTATAAAACCATTCCCCAAGGTCTTTCCCACTGCATCTGAGTCCCCAGCTTAACCTATTACCCATTTACTAGGAGTAAAAGAGAGTAGATGCAGATGGAATGGTCTGTAAACCTGGGGTGCAGAGCATAATCCCAAACACGCAAGGTTTTTTGTGACATTTAAGGGACAGGTTTCATTTTGGGAGGTCAGGTATTCCTGCTATGGCTCAGGATGACCAGGCTTCCAAGTAGAACTATTGGACTGAGACAGGCCTTGTGGACACTCAGGTTTTCTGTAAAACTGAGAAATGCATGTATCCACCTCAGAGAAACCTGAACTGAGCAGAGAAAGAAAAGAGTATATTAATGCTGCTCACTACTTTGCTCCCCTGGATAGTAGAAAAGGGGTGAAATGGCAGAAAGGATCATCAGAGTCCCTGGGTGTTACAAATGGTGAGCACATTGCTGCTAAGTGGAAGACTGGCCGTTGGAGCCTACCCAGCTGGTAAAAGAAAGTACTGGTGATGTAGTTTTGAAGACTCAGCCATGGGAAACCTTATGGAGCATGGTACTGCTGTAACACATATGAGGTCTGCATGAGTCAGAATGGACTGTAGAGCAACTGGCTTTTGGTTATTTGGAGTTCTGAGAAAGGCCCCAGACAGCACCCAGGTCAGGTCCCACAGTCCCCAAACCACTGTATTGCAGATTAGTAAAACACATTTTGTGTATCAAGATAAACCTTAAAAATTAGATAAAAGAAAGACAACAGAAATTCCAAAAGTATCTCCCAAAGTACCAGCATAAGTGCAAGAAATCCCTTTCTTGTGATTTTCAATGTCACTGCCATGTAACCATGAGCAGGAAGTGAACGGCCAGAGGCCCACTTGCCACAAATGAATGCATTGGGTTTAACGATCTTATTGTTGATTTAATTTGAAAATTCTTTTGTAAGTCATGCCGTATTAATAACTTGTGTTTTTTGTTGTTGTTTTATCTTTTTAGGTCCAACACACAGCCCAAATCATAATTTTCAGTAAGTATCACTTTCCTGAAAATCATTTTTAAGATGCTCTGAGGATTTCCATTGTGTATGAAGGCAGGATATAAGTCTGGCAAACACCACTTAAACAGTCACCACAAGTCTTTGCTGAATTTGATAGAAATCGGTTGGACTTCATAGGAGAATGGCACTGTGCTTTAGTTGGGTTGATAAAAATCTTGGGGAACTTGTATATTTTTTCCATGTTTAGTGTAAAGTAAAGATGTTATACACAGACACACATGAATACTGATCATTTCTGTTTGTGATCCTGACCTTATGGAAACACAGATATTTAAGCCATAGTACCAAGACCACCAAAATATTGGCTTTATGAAACCATTTGGAAATATAGAGGAAATTCTCTGTCTGAAATCCCAGTACCACCAATTACTGCTTTTATAGAAGTCCTGGTGTGGCAATGCAGGATAGGGTGCTGGACCACAAGATCAGTTTGAACTGCAAAGTTGGCTGTTCAAACCACCAGCCACTCCTCGGAAACCCTATACGGGATCACTGTGGATTAGAACCTATGCTACAGCACTCAACAACAACAAGGTGTAGTGGATAAAATGGAGCCTTATCTGAGATAAGTAAAGCCTGCTGTGGTGCTGTGGGCTAATGCGTCAGACTGCAAAGTCATTTGAACTCCAAGTTCGGTGGTTCAATTTTACCAGCTGCTCCTTGGAAACCCTATACAGGGTCGCTATGGGTCAGAATGAACTCGGAGGCACTTAACAATACCAACAACTTTAAAAATGGGTAAACTAACGCTCAGGGCTTTGTTTGGGCATTCTGTAGTGAACTGTTGACAAATTTGTCTTTAAACTCTGGCCTTTTGTTTTCCAGTACAATGTCTTTCCACTGCACCACATTTTATTTTGAGGAAATTTTCCTCTGTCAAATGTTTTGTCATTGTATAAATGTGGTACTACACTTTTTCTTTGCCTATATTTATAATTAGCAGTGACTGTTGAATTCCCCTCATTTTAGATATAAGCCTGTTGAAGAGTGACTGTTTAACATAAATGTTTGGAGGAGTCACACAAACATGATGTAGTTGATGACTTGAACTTTATTTGTTTGTTTATATTTCTCTGATGCCTCATAAACATCACCTATTGGAATGAAATTCTAGATGCCAAATAGGAAAGGAGGAGTAAGGGAGTTACCCTTCTGAGCATACATCAAGGTGACTTTTATAGAAGGCAGATTTTTCAAAAAACATTCTTTCCTAAGCAGGAATTCAAAAGTCCTCCATGGAGATAGACAACACTGAGAGTGTCCATCATAACAAACTCTGGATAACATTTCAAATAATGGAAATTCCAGAACATTTCATTATTGTGAATATCATGAAGAACCTGTACATCGACCAAGAGACAGTCATTTGAATAGAGCAAGAGGATGCTGAATGGTTTCATATCAGGAAAGTTGTGTCCCAGGGTTGTGTCCTTTCACCATCCTTATTCTGTATGCTGAGCAAGTAATCGGAGAAGCTTATTGTATGAAGAAGAACATGGCATCAGGATTGGAGGAAGACTCATTAACAGCCTACAATATGTAAATGATACAACCTTGCTTACTGGAAACAAAAAGAAGTTGAAGTACATGCTGGTGGAGATCAAAGACTACAACCTTCAGCATGGATTGCACTTCAATGTAAAGAAGACAAAAATCCTCACAACTGGACCAATAAATAATATGATAAATGGAGATGAGATTGAAGTTATCGAAGTTTTCATTTTACTTGGATCCAAAATCAGCATCATGGAAGAAGCAGTCATGAATTCAGTTGGCACGTATATTAGTCAAATCTCCTGCAGAAGATCTCCTTAAAGATGATGTGCCTGACCCAAACCATGGTGATTTCAAAACCATAGAGGAATCAATGCGTTTGAATTTTGGTGTTGGTGAGGAATATTGAAATTACCTTGGACTGCCATTAAGAACAAACAAATCTATTTTGGAAGAAATAAAGCTGGGATTGCTCTTTAGAAGAGATGGTGGTGATACTTTGTCACTTGTGTAGTTTGGACATGTTTTCAGGAAGGACCATCCCCTGGAGACAAATATCATACTTGGTAAAGTAGAGGGTCAGTGAAAAAGAGGAAGACCCCAATAAGATTGATTGACACAGTGGCAGCAATGGGCTCAAATATAATAACAGTTGTGAGAATAATGCTGGAGACTGGGCAATGTTTTGTTCTGTTGTATATTGGGTCAGTATGCATCAGAACCAACTCTATGGCACCTAATAACAGTGTAACACAGAGAAAAGAAGAAATTTGACCAAGGTCATGTTTTATGAGACCTTGTAAGATATAGAAATTATTACAGAAATTGAATCATTATTTTTCTTTTATTTAAAAATAGTTTTACATTGGTTTTTCTCCTGATTATTATCTACAGATTAAATTGATACATTCATGTAAATAATGCCTTAAGTTCCCTTAAAATGGAAGTCCTGTCTGACTGCCTAGTCTGTCCTTGTCTCTTCTCAGCAGCCATCTGCGTTGTCATGTGGGTAGGTCAGATCAGAGTTTTCCTCATAATTCACATATGAACCTAAAGACATACATCATCTCACTTTGATGTACTGATTTATGTAAGTGATATTATACTTGTCATAGGGATAGTTCCATGTCTGTGTCTTTAAATTTCTGTGATCTTCTTTTTAATATTGCACGTAGTGTTTAATGACTTTCCTTTGCCAATTGTTGCTGAGTCAGTTCCGACTCATGGTAATTCCATGAATGTCAGAGTAGAACTGCCCCATAGAATCTTTAGTGGTTCTTCCCAGGTGCCTTTGAGTGGACTCAAATTTCTAACCTTTTGGCTGGCAGTCAAACATATTAACTATTTGCATTACTCAAGGACGCCTAGCTATTCCCCAAACCCATCGAAACTGGTTCCAGTTTGTCATGACCCTATATAAATTTTAAACAGTTTAAAACTTTTCCACTACGTACTCATTCCTTATTTCCAAAGCTACTTTTGTATTTTCAGAATCTGTTAAAGCAATATCATGCTACTGGTCCAAATTCTGTCGTATCTAGTGCAGCTATAACAGAAATACCGCAAGTGGATGGCTTCAACAAACAGAAATTTAATTTCTCACAATGAGCTGGAAATGCTTGGTAAAGTGGAAGATCAGCAGTCCCTGGAGAAGGACATCATGCTTAGTAAAGTGGAGGATCAGTATAAAAGAACAAGACCTCGAATGAGATGGCTTGGTACAGTGGCTACAGTGGGCTCAAGTGTAACAATTATGAGGCTGGTGCAGGACCGGGCAGTGTCTCATTCTGTTGTGCATAGAGTTGCTATAAGTTGGAACCGACTCAACACCATGTAACTGTAGCAACAATTTTAACATGATATTAGTACAATCTAATGCTAATAATATTTCATCTTGGAAGTAAAGGGAATTAAATATAAAATATGGCATCTAATTTTTAAAGGTACTCATTCATTCGTGACTGAATTAATCATGTCGTATCTTACAGAGTCACCCTGTAATGGTAGTTCCATTTCTCATTCATGGGAAATATTCTATTCTTTGTGTATATTACAGTTTATCTATTTACTTGTTGATGGACATTTGGATTTCCAATTTGAGGCAATTATAAATAAATCTGTGGTGGTGGTGGTTATGTGCCGTGGAGTCAGTGCCGACTCATAGTAACCCTGTACAGGATTTCCGAAGCTGTAAGTCTTTACGGGAGCAGAAAGCCTCATCTTTCTCCAATTACAGTACCAGAGCTGTAAAGCTGTAGTGAATATTTATTTTCAAATCTTTTTGTGAGTTTGTTTTCATTTCTCATGAGTGATTTCTAGAGGTGATATTGTTGGGTTATAAGAAACTGCCAAACCCCCTCCACACACAGAGTAGACAGAGATGGGCAACTTGGACATTGGATACCCAAATGGAGGGGGAGGGACTACAAAGGCAAGAAGTGACTGGCTTACAAGCTTTCAAGAGGGAACCTAGAGCTAGAGGGCATGGAGGAAGGCAGAATCACCAGTGAGTACTATCCAATCTGTCTAGGTGGAGCTGATGAAATGAAATACAGATGGGTTACTCGCTACTGTAGTGAATAATGGTTATCAAGACGGATTGTGAGGGTTGGAAATGCAAAGGTAGACATTTTGTAGCAAGGAAGGGAGTGATTATTTCTCAAGTTTAGGAGCGGAGGTCTCTGGGACCACCAACAAAGAAGAGCCGAGAGCGGGACCCTACCCAGAGAAGCAGAGATGTCTGAGATGGAGACAGAGACGATGACGTGGAGTGATGAAGCGGCTGGGGACTTTGGATCCAGAGAGGGAGAGGGACTGTGGGCCGAAGACTTGGGGTGGGGGGGTTGAGCAGACGATGGGTTTCTAGGATATACTCTTTGGTCAGAAGATGATCCATGGAGGGGATTGGAACCATGGCAATGAAATGATATACAATGGAATGAATGTAAAACTAAAGTTCTCTCATGTAAACTGTCATATAATTCACAATAAAATATTTAAAAAAGAAAGAAACAGCCAAATTTCCTCCAAAGTATTCTTACCAATGTAAATACCCACCAGCAATATATGAGAGGTCCCTGTTGCACATCACCCTTGCCAGCATATGATGTTGTCAGTCATTGTAGTTTTAGCTGTTTGAGTGGTTGTGATGTAATGATTCATGGTGATTTTGTTTGCATTTCCCTGGTCACGAAGCTGTGGGGCTATGTTTAAAGGCCACTTTTGTGAATTCTGTCTTTAGGTCCCTTGTCCAGTGTTAACTGTGTTTATCTTCTTATTGAATTAATGTTGTTAAGTGCCATTGAGTCAGTTCTGACTCTGTATTGGGTTTTAGAGGAGCAACTGGTGGGTATGTGATTAGTAGTTAAGTGCTTATCCTACGGTGCCACATCAGGACTCCATATAGGTTTAAAAGCTTGTCAGTCTTTTAGGGAGCAGAAAGCCTCATCTTTCTCCTGTGGAATGGTTTGTGGGTT